AGATTGAAAACAACGAAGGATGTGGGTGAGCACAAATGCGCAAGTTTTAACACGACTGGTGAGATATCACTGGAACCGGACTGCTGGAGTGTGGTTAGCTAAGCTGAATGAATGTTGCCGGTTGCGATCTCGAGGCGAAATAGAAGCCACCGTTAGTAGTGTGTAAGTGTAATGTAATGGACGGATATAATGTAGAATTTAAAACAAAAACGGTACGCTATTGGTTATTCGATATTGCACATTGTTGTGACAAAGTTAGCCATCAAACGACTGGTCGCGAAACATCAGGACTTCGAAAATAAAAACTGCTTACCGCCTGACGCATTCACCATTTAGTCCAGATATGTAGTCTCTGCAAACGCTTTGTGGTGCATGTTAAGTAGAACCGGAATAGTCGCTATAGAGCAATGCGAAGGTACAAAAGTATACACATTATCTCACCTGGCCGTATTTCTGGATAAACTCCGATCTCCCAGTGAACGGTACTCTTGCATCATGAATTTCAATCAGAACATCCACGTTGATCATCTTGGAGCCGATTTCATTCATACCCTTTCGCATGTGACCTGGGAACCAGCGAACTGAACTTGGATCCACCATACGAATCTCTCTTTTGAAAGGATGGGTGTGAATAAATCTTGCTTTTCCTACACTGCATCTTATTGGTGGAAAGCGTAGGTGGATGGTGTTCATATCTATGCAAGAAAAAAGAAAAACCGCTCCATAGTTCAATTCCTTTAATACCCGTATATGATATATTCGATTTTCTATACTCCATAGTCACAATGACCTGTAAGCTTATAACTACACGTCATCTAAACTATGGCCTCAAGTGGCAAACAAAGTATCATCGAAAAATCAATAATTAAAGTAAGGTTTCAAGCATTATGACCTATTATTATTACTTATTTCACACACGTCTGAATGCAAACCGTGCGCCAAGCAAATCATGGTACAATAATCTTTATGAAAAAGAAAAACGTTCAATGGTTTGCATGTGAGCGGGATACTGCTAGGTTGCCCAGGCCAAGGCAGGTGAATTTTCTTCAGGAATCCACAACCGGAGCCTTTGGCTAGCCAAAGCCTGACCCGCAAGGCAGTGTGCGAACACCGCAATCCACTGAGGCCGGTGTCCAGTTCATCGGATCATACGCCTTTCGGACGGGGTCAAACGTCCAAGGTGTCCAATACACCTCGATACTCAACTGAGCCGGTGACTACTGCCACGACCAGGAAGTTGTGTGNGGTGTAAAGCGAATGCCGAAAGGAGACACAGAACTTGCAAGTCTGTCAACAGCGCATTGCGCGTCCTCCATCGTATAGTGAAATACAGTGGAGTGAACTTTATGATCAAAGTCAAAATGAGAATGTACAATACATATAGAGGTCAGGCTTAACTGGAGGCCACATTGTACACAACCTAAGTGCGCATACGTACCTGCTCAAGCATTGACGTGATGAGAAGAAACAACAAGAACACTAGAAGACGGGACACCTACTCCACCTACATGGTGGTGGTGGTGCAGTGGTTTAGGTGCTATCACTGGTGTGCTTTGGACCGCCACCCAACTTTGGTGGTCGGCAGCTTTGCTGACGCATGGTTATGTACCACAGCTGCCCGAACTGGGCCTTATTTGGTTTGCCACTCTGAATCCCGGGGCTTAGGTTGCCGGTTACCATTTCTGAACAGCAGGTCTTCGTGAATATGGGGTCAACTCCGTCTGCCGTTTGTCACACTGGTATGTAATAAAAAATATGCTCTATGCATTTCTTCATGCTTCGCTTTTACGTCATCTGTGGATTTCCGGGTGCATTACTCCTGGATCCGCAACTACGATTGTNATGGTACAATAATCTTTATGAAAAAGAAAAACGTTCAATGGTTTGCATGTGAGCGGGATACTGCTAGGTTGCCCAGGCCAAGGCAGGTGAATTTTCTTCAGGAATCCACAACCGGAGCCTTTGGCTAGCCAAAGCCTGACCCGCAAGGCAGTGTGCGAACACCGCAATCCACTGAGGCCGGTGTCCAGTTCATCGGATCATACGCCTTTCGGACGGGGTCAAACGTCCAAGGTGTCCAATACACCTCGATACTCAACTGAGCCGGTGACTACTGCCACGACCAGGAAGTTGTGTGCGGTTCATACGCCTCCTCTTGGTTGGTTTGGAATCAGGGATTTTGGCTAACTCCCCTAGGTGAACTACCAGTGGCCCACCAACCCGGTTATACCCCCGGACGTCGGCTTTTCGTTCTCTCATTGATGGGAAAACAACTCCGCCACAAGAAGGTAGTGAGTAGGGCTTCTTCAGTAGAGGCTGTTTGAGGCGCTTGGTCGTATGGGAGCATTTCGTGAAGCGCAAGGGAAGGGTGACCAGCCGCAACCCTAGACACAATCCTGAACACACTGAGTACATGAACCATTCCTGAAATTCATAAGTCCTATTTGACTCTGAAAAGGGCTCATATTTGGTTCTCAACATGTGTGTCTTAGAACACTCAATAGCTTGTTACGCAGTGGACAAAGACGTACTTCTTGACCTTCTGGTCTTTAAAAACTAAAGTCATTGACTCCCTTACTTCCGAGGCAAGGGATTAATTCCTGCTGCCTTGCAGTTCGCACTCGGTTGTGCAAAGGCTAGAAGTGAGCCCTGAAAATAAAAAAACCGAGTGACGCTGGGGACGTCTCTCGTACCAAGTTCCCAATTAACTTCATGATCATTTCTTCTACAAGCTTTGTTACCCATGCTACGGCGTCCCCGGTAAGCGACGCGCCCCGCGCTCCTCCAGTGGTCAGAGTGTCAAGAGTGCGAACTGGACCTCATCGACCTCTTCAACCTAGAAAGCATCTCTAGGTGGGATGCTAGAACGTGAGAACCTTCTGGGACATTGGGATTCAGGCAGTGACTTTGCGCACGTTACACAACTACCACGTAGATATTGCATGTTTATCCGAAGTACGATTAGCCGGCTCCGGCTTCTGCAGCATCAAGGCTCCCAGTTCTGTTAGTCACCACTATTTTCACCATGGTGGCCCAGAAATTTCAGGTCAACAGGAAGTGGCGTTAGCGCTGAGCCAGTGGGCTAACGCTGCCCTACTTTCTTGGGAACCAAGATCGCTAAAGATCGCTGTAACACGCGTCAAAGGTAATCCTACCAACCCGACCGTGGTAGCGGTCTACGCCCCCACTCTACCATCCGACAGCGTAGTGAAGAACGAGTTTTCAGGAGGTAGTAAATCACGTCCCCAAGAGAGATGTACTTATCGTGGCGGGAAACTGGAATGCTCGAATAAGTTGGCAAGGAATTTCAACAAAACATATGTGGGAAATTCGGACTAGGCCATTGCTGCGAAAACGATGACAGGGTAATTAATTTCTTCGATTTTAACCGACTATTTATAACCAACACATGTTTCCAGCACCCCAGGAAGCAGCTCCTTACCTGGTACTCCAACGACGGTATAACAACCCACCAGATCAACCATATCTTGATACGGTCATATTGGACCACATCAATAGAAGATTTTAGATCGTATCGCGGTGCCGAAGCTGGTAACAGAGGTGGCTTTGATCACATGCTGGTTCGAGCGAAACTTTGCCTTCGGCTGACTACTCGTGTTAAGACCACCTCTCGAAATCGCATCGATGTGGGCCCATTAGAGAGTAGCGACAAATCGAAAACACTGATGGACGAGATTGAAACCCCACTGGCAAATGAGCCTGCGGCTCCCGTCAACGTAGCAGACTCCACTGATGTGCAGTGGTCCAGGATAAAAGCTGCAGTACACACTTGGCACCATGAAACGCTGCTACAAAGATTGGATATCAGAGAAAACCATCGGTCTCTAAACCCTGGTGAGGGACGTCCGTTTAGCTGGCCACCACGATTACCAGCGACTCAGACGCGAAGTAAACCGCTCCGCAAAAACAGATCGGCGCAACTACTGGAGCAAAATAGCGATTAAGATAGAAACCGCAGCTAGTGCACGTCACTTCGGAAACCTCTTTCGCCTCATACGATCAGCTTCCGGTAGAAGGCAACCTTTACAACCCGTTCTGTTCGACTCCACCGGGGGACCGATCTCCGATATCCACAGTAGAATGACCAGATGGGTAGAATATTTTGGTCAACTTCTCAGTCATCCGCTGGGCAATCCGGCGGATATTCATCCCAATTTGGCTTCCCCATACGGGGTCGACTGTGACCCTTCAACGGTAGAGGGAATAGCCGACCGCAATGATCGGTCGCTTGAAGTCTGGCAAGGCCCCTGGTGAAGCCCGAGCGGAGGATGCTAATCGGCTTTCCGTATTCGACCACCGATGCCTTCGAAGCATTGCTCGTGTCTGGTGGGAACATCGGGTGAGCAATGACGAAATTCGTGCTGAAATTGTCCTGAGTACTGATAATCGCTCTCTAACGGAAGAAATCGTTCTACACCGCCTCCGATGGCTCGGTCATGTTTTGCGTATGCCTGCCCGTCGACTATCTCGCCGTACTCTCTTCGCACGTGTTGGGCAAGGTTGGAAGAAGCTTCGCGGCGGTCAGACCTTGACGTGGTGTAGAGTTATGAAGAAGTTAGCCTCAGCATTGGCTTCGATTGCTGAAGCTCGCCTTCCAGACTGGGGACCAAGGGATGAGGATTGCCGATGGCTTGAGATGCTGGAAGATATGGTTCAGAATAGATTTTAGTGGCGCGATTGCTGTGCGGTTTGTTTGGCAAAACCCTGTTCTCCATAACACAAGAAGTATCTTCAAAAAGTGTAGGGTGAAACCACAAAAAATTCCTTCATTTATCCATTCGTTCTCCATGTTTTCTGTTTTCCCCATTTTTATTTAACCTTTCTGCACCTCATCACAAGTTCATTACCATTGTTTTGCTTTGGCACCATATCTGTTCTCAAGCCGGTGTAAAATATATGTACTGGTGGAGACGGAATCCTGGCAAAAATATACAAGAAGTGACTTCTGGTGGTCATCAAGCTGCTTCACTATCTCTTTCGCTCTTTTTGACGGACCGAAACATGTCCAACTGGTTGGAACACCTCGGTTTCGCTTCCGTTCCCCGAGGAGGGCGACAAGACACTATGTGAGAATTATCGGGGCACCCGTCTGCTAGATGTGGCTGTAGAAGCGTTTGCCCAGCTCGTGTCTAATCGTTTTGCTACAGTGAGGCATGCATGTAGTCAGCCAAATCAAGGAGGCTTCCAACTCGGCAAAGGACGTATCGATCAGATTTTCATTCTAAGGCGAATTCTGGAACACTGATAAAAGTTTCAGCATTCCACCGCTACATGCTTCATTCACTTTCGCATTCGACTCAATGGACCGCGAGTCACTGTGGAAGATAATGCTTGCAGATATTTTTTATTTTTCATTACACACCTAGGTGTGATGAACAGAGCACGGGGCGGACCCCATAGTCACGAGGACCCGCTGTTCAGTGATTGAAATCGGCAACCTAAGCCCTGGGACCTGGAATGGCGAACTACATAAGGCCCCGATAGGTTAGGCGTGGTATTGAACCGGACAGCAGAGCTTCCTGCAAAGTTGGTCAATATAGTATGGTATAGTATATATAGTATAGTATTCCACCCAAACCAAAGCTTGTATCCGTGCCTACGGTGAAGAGTCTCATCCCTTCAATCTGAGGTCAGGAGTAAGACAAGGATGCCCGCTATCGCCAGTATTATTGGAATTCGCTGTTGATTGGATTCTGTTTCGGGCAACGGAGGGTTACCAAGGCGTGCAAATTTCCGCGGATTATTGGATTACTGACC